TCCTCCTGCGCCGCCTCCTCCTTCTTGGGAGGGCCGGCTGCCCTTCTCCACCAGTAGGCGGCTCCTGAACAGCAGGTGGCTTGCCCACTGGGGGCACCCGATGCCGCCTCCCTCTCCGGCACCGGCAGCTGCTCGCCGGGGTGGCCGCGCCAGGCCTCGGCGCTCATCGCCGCCCTCTATGGGGTCACTGCTGCTGCTGGGTCCCAGGCCTCGGTGTGGGGGGCAGACAGTCCGGATCCTGGCTTCTGGAGGAAGGGTCCTCCCATGCCGACGCCACCTTCTTCCTGGTGGGGAAGCGCCGCGAGAAGCCGGGAGGACCTTTCCTCTGGGAGCCAGGATCGGGGGGGCTCTCCAACCCCGTGCCAAGGCCTGGGACCCAGCAGCAGTGGCGGCATTGGCCCCGCAGAGGGCAGCGAGGAGCCAATGCCAGTGACAGAGTGGGAGGCAGAGTCGGGCAGCCCCAGCAGGCAAGCCACCTGCTGCTCAGGAGTCGCCCACCAGCGGAGAAGGCTGAGCCTGGCCTGGGCCACCATCATTGCCCTGCCCGCCTCGCCTCCGCTATGATCTACCTCTCCAGACACTGGAAGGAGAGGCTCCTCCTGGCCAGGGCGCTCCGGTAACTTACCTCGGCCTCATCCTCTGCCATGGCACCTCGGTGTCAGCCGGGGACTGTTTGCCATCAGAGGGGGCTTTGGAGTGGTGAGGTAAGGTGCTGCTTTTTGCTTTTTAAAAACTGTTCTGGGTGGCTTTTGCAGGGTGGGGTTTGGGCTGGGGGGTTATGTTTCTGTGCTCTGTTTTGTTTTTTTGTTTTTGGTGGGGGTTTTTTGCAGCCCCAGCGCCTTCCGATGGGGCTTTCTGTGCGCTTTATATTTGGTTTGTTTGGTTGTGTTTTTAAGCCCCCGCAACTTCAAGGCTTGATCTGTTTGTTTTTCATTGTTGTTGTTTTTTTTTTCAAAGCCCCAGTGCGTTCCTATGGGGCTTGCAGTGTTTTATTTTTATTTTATTTGTGTAGGTGGTATTTTTCCCCCTTCTGGAACAGATTAGACTCATTCTTTGAATAGAATTTTTTGGCTTTCTGTTTTGACATCTAGGGTTTCATTTTCACTATTGTATCAGTGATTGAACTGTGGGGCCAAATTGTCATTAAGCAAATGCAATTGTCACTTGGCAAATGGGTTTTGCCAATGAAAATTTTTTAAAAAGTGATGCTTCTCTGGTCAGGTCTTCCTCCACATATCCATATCTGACAACAAAGCCAACCCAAAATATATTTCTGGCTAAGGCAAAGACAACAAAAAACCACCTTCCATTGCAGAGAAAGTTAATTCAATACATTTTTGCTACCTGGAGAAAATATAGGAAGACACCATTCCATGTACATTCTCACTCGATATAGAGAATTTGACAAAATGTTGGATTTTGCTTCAAAACTGCCACCAGGAAAATGTTTTCTGTCACACCTCAGGGCAACAGCTTAGCATAGCAGCCTGTGTAACCTACATACACTGGCTCCATCCTAATTAATACCTAATGGTAGGGCTGATGATAAGCTACATGTCCCATGAGCTACATGTGACCAAAGAAGCATGTTTGGTACTTCCAGAGAAAGAATTAACAAGGCCCAAGAAAAGATTGGTTCAAACATCTATTTTATACTCAATGTCACAATAATTTTTGATATTTTTTAAAAAAATAAGTGCCATTGTTGAATTTTTACATTAGGTCTTTTTAGCTTTACCAATATAAAATGAAAAAATTTAAAGTTAAAATAAAGCTATTACTATTATATTATTATTTTAAAAGGAATTGCATTAGATAAAAATTATCAAAGTAGAGTGAACCAAGGCTTTTAAAAGGTGAAGTACCTATCATTGCATTTTGCATTCTTGAAATCCCAAAGAAAATATAGCTGTGGACACTTAGCATCAAGGTTGCTGCACTAATGAGTGAAGACTGAAGGTTGAGGGGTGGGATGCATATTGGTGACAAAGAGATATTCTAGGAGTAAAGGTCTCAAAGAACCAAGAACAAGGTACTGTAGATTAAAATCTGTTCCAAAATTATGCATCTTCTAGCCAGCCTTGGGAAATGTTGTTTATGGCACCTCACAGTCTAGCTGTGAAATTGTTCACATAGGAACAAGTATTTGATTGATGGCTGCTACTGATAAAATTGGGACTTGGGTAAGGTAGTTGTATCAGGATATATACTTTCTGGATTAGTGTTAAGCGAAGGGGACTGATAAAGGTGAAGAGGTGAGCAGCAGAAGTTTTATTAATAGTTGTTCATAAAATAACTGGTGTTTTTGCTGGAGTCTGGCCAAATAGCAGTTTTAATCCTTGGAACAGACACCATAAGCTCTAAATCTAGGGCATCTTCCTCGTGGGAAACTGATTTTCATGTAATGGTTTCTTCTTTTCCATGGGCAGAAGTTGCAGTAAGATCCCCTTTAAGGGACAAGTTGAATTACATCCCATGTTTTTTAAAAACACAAATGTGTAAAACGCATTTGATATCTCTTCAAATGTGACGAAAAATATCTCTGTTATTTCTTTGGCTTCACAATTATTTCACTGTGGTTGGTGCCCTTCTTCTCTGGCATGCTGTGCCCATGTGGTGCAGCTCTGGGAATTCTCAAACTGAAAAACACCTTGTTCAGCTTTTGTGAGCCAACAGCCTTGCTAATGGGTCATTATTAAATACAGTGGTGCCTCGCAAGACGAATGCCTCGCAGGACAAAAAACTCACAAGACGAATGGTTTTGGCAATGGGGTTGATGACTCGCAAAACGAGTGTTCCTATGGCCGTGCTTCGCAAGACGAATATTTTCTGTTTTTTGTTCCTACCTCATTCATGTTTGCTGATTTTTAAACCTTTTTCTATGATGTTTAAAAAGTTAACATTTTTTGATTGGAATTTTTGAAATCATCTGCACAGTATGTATGGCTTTAAAGAGCACTTAATAAACCCTTTGTAAACCAAATTTGACTTTGTTCTGACTTTTTTGACCATAGGAACTCATTAATTAGATTTCAATGCATTCCTATGGGAAAATGTGTTTCGCAAGACGAATTTTTCGCAAGACAACATTAACTGCTGAACGAATTAAATTTGTCTTGCGAGGCATCACTATATCTGAAATCCAAACAAAGGATGATCTGCCTGATGATCTTTGTTTCTTTTTGTTTAACTTGTGTGTTATTAAAATTTTAAGGAGACCATATCTGGGTCAGGCTGATCATTACCTGAGAACACAGTACTTTTTTAGGAAGGTACATGCAATCATGATGGGTTTCTTTGATAGAGCAGGCAGATGAGTTGGTGAAAAGGCCTTTGTAAGATTGGAGGGTCTGAGATTTTAGGTCTGGCTTAATTTTGGAATGGCCATTAGTGGGTTTTTTTAGTCAGTGGGTTTTTTTAGCACAGGGGCATACATGCACGGACACACTGAGGATCTCTTTGCTCACCCCTCTCTAAGTCAACAGTGAGACAGATGGCTCTTTGGAACGGGAAAGCAAGGTGGGTTTCTCCTTTCACCAGCACATCTGAAGGAGCAATTGACAGAAGCAAGAAGCAAGCTGATGATGGTGGTGATGGGTGCCTCTTGTAGCCTAGATGTTGTTCCTCCTGCTGTTGCTATATATGGTAGCATTGAAACGTCTTTCTGAAGGTTTGCTTCCCACAGTGGTCGTCCCCCACTTCTTCCCTGTTTCTCATCCCTAGATGCTTCTCTACCATCTGAGGTGAACACGACTCACCTGTTTGTTATTCACACACACACAAAAAGAGGAAGTGAGATGAAAGAGGAATATTCTCAAGCTGAACTCCACCTTTTCAATAAGTACAAAACCAAACCATGCTTTCAGGCAGGAATGAAAGGCTGCAAAATCACAGATTTTGCTTCTGAAGCAGGAGAAGCCTACATCACATTGGTGGCAGAAAAAATATTGATATAACTAGTGGCTGATCGGGTACATTGTAGACAACAAATACTCTATCTGGAAGAACCTTCAGTCTACTTTTTTTCCTTTTGATTCCTTGTGTAGTTTGAACCAGTTAGATACCAAGCCAGGGAATTGTGAAAAATATGAATTTGAATTAAATCACGATTTAAATAAAAATCTGATATTTTAAAACTTAAATAATTCTTTAAATTAATTTGATTTTTTTTAAAAAAAAATAATTGATTTCTATCCACCCTGATTTCACAAAATGCTCACTATAGATGTCTGGTCAGATATGGGACTGACGCCAGAAATGGCTTTTGTAGCCTTTTAACTTGTTACATATTTGCTGCTGAACATGATAGTCAAGTTTTCATTGTGTTCAAGTTGACACAGGAGTCCTGTTGGATCAGACCAGAAGTCCATCTAGTACTGTGTCCTTCAGCCGTGCTGTTCAGGTGCTTCTGGAATGTACACACTTAGAAACAGTACTCCTCTCTTGTAGTTGAACCTACGACTATTGTTCAGAATTATATGGTCTTTGAATCTAGAACTTGTCTGTGTACTCACCCTGAGTCAACTTATAATGTGCTCTAACACTTAAGAGCATTCAGTCTGCTTCGAGCATCCTTCTGGTGGCCAGAGGACTTTGATGTTTCCTTCTGCTAGTTTAGTGTTCAGTACATTTGGATTTAAGAATTTAGGGAAGATGTTTAAGTCTTGAGATTTTCTTTCAGTGTGCATCTGTGTGTATAAAGCAGACGGGGAGAGAAATCTTAGATCCTGGACTATGAGTCTTATGAATTGGGCTGGCAATCATAGCATCTCTTACTTTATCTGCTGATTCCATCAACATGGCTAAATAGATTTACTAAGCTGCTGAGAAATAGCAAAACAGATTTTGTCACCTACTAAAAAACTTCAGATTAATAATTACAGAGAAGTTGAAATTTAGGGGTCTTCTGTAGTCAGTGTTCTTCTTGCATGCAGTGTTCCTCTGTCTGCTTTCCAACAAAGCATTTTCCTTATTTATTGTCAATTCTCTTCATTCCCCAGGAATATATTGATGCTCATCCTGAAACTATCATTCTGGACCCCCTCCCAGCTATTAGGACACTGCTGGACCGGTCAAAGTCTTATGAGCTTATTAGACAAATAGAGGCCTACATGCAAGGTAAGTTTTGTGTACCACTGGTAGTGTATCAGTTGGAGAAGACTTGATGCATGTTAAGAAAGATAGTCTGCATTTGGACATAGCTACAAAGTACAATCTTTTCAAAACTTGTTGCACATTGACCTCAAAGAAAATGTATTTTCAGAATCTAGGCCTGTTAAGCATTTTGAGAAAGGATAAAATAAGTCCTCTCTTTAAGGCAACTTCTGTTTCAGATACTCTGGGCATATCAAAACGTAAAATAATGATTGTGTGTTACATTTTGATTCACCTGACATCTATGCACATTATCAGATTAGAAAACAGGTGGTTTTTTTGTGCATTTTCCCTATGGATTCTTCATACAGTGAAGAGAGCAGATATCATAAAAAGTTGTAGCTTTATCATCACTATGGAAGCTATGTGGATTAAGCGACAGAAGGTGTCAGCAGTGCTGCATCTCTCCTATTAATTATGGCTTCAAAATGAATTCATAGGTGCCAACAAGGAGGCATTTGGGCTAAACCAGAAGAAATTGACTGTAGCTGTAGATAGTGTTGCAGAAACATGTTTTCTTCCTGTGTGAAATTGCTCATTTATTCAGTGTGGGAAATACTGAATTTTTAGGCACTGTTCCTGTTTCATAGTTTTGATTGATTGATTTTTATTACTGTCACTGACCAGCAGATATATTCAAATATTATTATTATATATATAAAATATTGTTATTATATATATTAGTATAACATGAAAACACAATTAAAAATATAGAACCTATTTCAATATGACTAAATTTTATAGACTCTCCATAGTTTCACAGGACTAAGGAGATCAGTAAATCAATTCAGTAAACTTTGTACTGCCTCCAACTTTCATAGTTTTAATTACTATTAAATGATCATGACCTATTAGCTACATATTTTTGGCTTGGTTTCTCCATGTATAATAGAAGGCAATGTTTAGCCATGTAACTACAATATGTGGGTAGGTTTAATGCATCTTCATTTTGTTTTGTTTTTTTAAGTGTTGCTGGTTGTAATTTTTTTCCCTCCTAGTTTTTACTTTCTTCCCAGGAAAAGGGCTATAAAAGAAGTAATTGGGGGCTTTGGGATGCTAAAAGTATATGTTCCAGGGTAGTTTGAAATGAAATATTTTGAATCATTTGTCTTGAAACGATAAGGCAAAAAGCAGGACGGGCCAGTAGATTTGGAGTTTTGTACATTGTTTGGATAATGTTTTGGTGTTGCTTTGTTTTGGTTCCATATCTAAGGATGACTGCATTAGCCTTTTTCTAGTCTCATGTTATGTCCTCTCTCACATATTCAGTTTCATTCAATTTTTTTAAGAAAAGCTGACAAAAATTTTATCTACGTTACAGTATATAGTTTAAATATGAAATATGCACTTCGAGTGAATTTCTCCCTTGAAAGAAACATATCAAATGTATAATCTCATAAAATTTATATTTTGTTTGGATTTTCTGTCTAAGAACTGAATGGAGAAATTCAGAAAAGCGCACAGCTCAAAGAAAGTTTAAATTAGACCTGTTCACATAAAAATGCAGATCAAATGAAATTCTCCAATACTGTATCTATATCTATTCTATAAACTTTCTCTTTGGTGGTTGGTGTATTTGTTCCTATGAGGCTGTCTTTGCATCTTTGCAAATTAGATTACTGAATATTCTAATTAAGGCAGAGGTCCCCAACCCCTGGTCTGCGGTCCATGGCTTGAGCTGGACCAGGCCATGGAGACAGACCTCCCGCCCCCGCATGCACTCATCCTGCACAGCTGAGTCGTGCATGTGCGGTCTCTCCAGCGCGCCAGTGCGAGTGCTGCACTGCCATTTGCACGTGAGCGCGCCTGCACTAGCGCAGCTCTGCAGTTTGTGCATGCGCATGCGCGCGCACACATGCCTGCACAAGCGCTGCACCACCATTTGCACGTGTGCACGAGCATACGCTGATTTGTGCGAAAGAGTGTGTGGTCTTGTTCGCGCATGTGCACAAGCACGGGAGGTGCCCCGCCTTCCCCAGCCGGTCTGCTGGGTGATCAAGGTTGGGGACCCCTGAATTAAGGGACATATTTTAGGTAGGAAAATAAGATATTTTTATAAAAGTATGCATTCTGGTATCTCCATCGAAAGAAACTTTATTATGTTCTGTGTTGGTTGTAATCTGTTTGAAGACTGGCTAAGCTTATTAAATGGATCTGTGAGTAAATTATAATAAATACCAAGAAACTGTTTAGAAAGTTGCTTATGAAACTTCAACAGAGTCAGTGAAGAATGGGACCCACTGGTACTGTGATATAAGCTATAATATGCCCCAAATAGGCTATAGCCTACAAAAATACATGCTACTCTAAATGTTTTTACCTTTGAAATCATGTTGCATTTTAAATGGATTTTGTTATGAATAGTAGCTTTAATATTATGTAGAGTTCAGAGCACATTTTAATTTTTAATGCATTTTTATACCACCCTTCAATAAAATTCCTAATGCAGAATACATAGAATCAAAGATAAATTAAATATAGATTGCCACCCTTCCAGTAGATTTGTCACAAGATATTAATTTGCAATGAATGAGTGACCAGTAAAGAAGTAACACTACAAAAGAAGAAACAAAAAAACATAAGCATATGGGCTAGAATCCTGATGGTGTTAGCATAAGGTGTGCATAACGATGCCTCTAATGGCATGTTTTGGTTGGTTCCTAACTGAGATGCACCCTGGCTCATTATCAGTTAGCCTTGACATGTTGCTCAAACACTACTAGGATTCTGGCCCTAAGACACAGAAAGTTAGAATACTTTAGTCATGAGAAATAGAAAGTACAGATTGTTACAGTTGATCGTCCAATATACAATAAATAAAAATAAGTTCAGGAAGGAGAAAAATATCTTGACTGAAAAGATACAGAGAATGATATACAGCAACATAACATCATTCTTTAGAGCTGCCAGATTTAAACTCAGCATATCTATATTCTTTTCAGGCTACAATAGGACAAGAGGAATAAGAATGATTTAAAAAACAACAACTAGTGTTGCAGGATTTTATGGGTATTTTTCTGACTACAAGAGAATTGCAATGTATTGCAGGGCGGTGTTTAAGAAGAGATGGGGAGGCCAAAGGATTGTTTGTGGATACAGAGTCAAGTCTATTCTGTAGTGTCTAAACTCCCAGAGCCAGAAAACCACATGCTCACATGAGATGAATGTCAATAGCTGTCAGACCTCTCTTTTTTTGTAAAAAAGCAAAGCATCACTTTTTTAAAGTTCCGGTCCTAAATAATAAAAACATTGTTGTGAGCCTCTAAAATTAGAAGGTTAGCATGTACCATGGATGGAAACAGCTGTTGTTAATTGTTTTCAGGGAGACATAGCATTAATAGAATTATTGTCTGCCCCAGTGCTCCTGCACTGATGAGAATAGTGGTCCTGCACTAGTGGGGTGGTATAAAAATAAAATAAAATACCCCAGAGGCAGAATAGTTCAGAGACAAAAGTATTGAAACTGAGGCTGTCCTTCTTTGGACACATCAGGAGAAGCATGATTCTCTGAAAGAGACAGTAATGCTGATAGAAAATGAAGGGGGAAATGAAGACCAAATATGAGATGAATTGACTCCCTAAAGGAAGCCACAATTATTTTATTTGTTTATTTATTTATTTTATTTATATCCCGCCTATCTGGTTGGATATGTTTGGGTGTGCAAGAGTTGAGCGGGCTATTGAGGACAGGCCATTTTGGAGATCACTCGTTCATTAGGGTTTCCATAAATCAGAGGTTAACTGGACAGCCAACAGCAACAACAACAGTGAAATGTCTCGTAATATAAAGGCACTTCACATCACTGTCATGTAAATGATAGAGTGACAGCCTGGGAATCCGGAGGCCCGGGTTCAGATTTCTGCTCAACCATGGAAACCCATGAGGTGTGTGTGGAGCTAAATATCTCACTTATCTTCAAAACCCAATCAAGGTAATCATAAATCAGTTGCAACTTGATCACTCATAATACAAATGCACCTCAGAGAGAACTAAAGCACTTGGACACTGCAGTGGTCCTTGCTACAAATTTCCCCCACTCCTTGTGCTAGTTTTCTTATCCATGACCCTAGCACAGAATTAAAAACTGATATCAGGCATTGCTGTATGTTTCCCACCTATGAAACAATGCTAATGTTTGTTGGGTCTTGGACTAGCAGACTTTTTGTCAGTTCTAATCTGATGAAAATATTGTTAGCCGCCACATTTTATGGAGAGGTGTGGCTTAACCAGTGTTGTCATCATACTGTAACCATGATGTGCCACCAGACCCCTGCCTAAGTAAATGAAACTTCTGGATAACTCAGTGGTTTATGTGTCAGGCTGCAGAGCCAGTGGTTGGCAGTTCCATTTGCCATTATGCTTCCTTGACATGGTATGGAGTCAGTGATCTGTAGGGTTCCTTCCAGCTCTGCAGTTTTTAAGATGATGGTGGTGGGTAATGATGGCTCTCTTGACAGTCTTAGTCTGGGAACACCACTAGATTTTGTTTTTATTTTTTTGCTACTTTTTTGCCGTTTATGTCGAAACTGAGTCATGAGTGGTTAGATCTGTTCCTGATATGTGCCACTTTTAAAGCTGTTCAATAAACAATCCACATGTCTTGAAAAGCAACCAGTTTATCAGTGACGTTATTCATTTCTCTTATATTATTTTAAAACCTCAAAAATCTCTTCAGGGTCATAAGTGCTTTGAAGTGGCAGTGCCCTGAGATTGAATACCACTGTTCCTCTAAGATTTCATACGGTCTGTGATTCAGCACCACCAGGACTGGTTGGCCGATGTATGCTTTCAGCTCAGTAATATGAAGTGCTTCCACACATTGACATTGCTACAATTCCTCTCATTCCATACTGTGAATAAAATAGTTTTCTGATTGTTTGACAGACTGTGCGATAAAGAATTCTTTTGTAAGGAGCAGTTCAAAGGTTTCTGTGTTGTTTCTTTCTTTGCATCCTTCTTTGGT